ACTATGTGAAGCATAATTTTTATTGCTCGTTCTATAGCGAGTGGTGATTTCACGTTCCAATAGTTCGTCAAATCGATAAACTTACTAAGAGCATTTGTTGCATAAAAATTATAAAGCTTTCGGCGTTGATCAATCCCTGTGGGATGCGCCATGCATTCGACTCCAATTTTTAACTTCGTTTGAGGTGATTGAATGCATATCTGGCCTTTACAATGACTCGCGGTGGAATCCCGTTGAACCGAGTCAGTGCTGCTTATCCTTCCACACAAGTCTGAAACCTGGCTGGTGGCAATTTACCGACCCCTGAAGGATGGATGGCCTGGTGGGCCATGAGCGTGAGATCGAACCATTGACCTCGTGTGCGACGCAGAGCATTTGTTGCATAAATGGCTCAAGATAAAATAAATCACAGGTTATATAATATAGTTTTCAAAAACATGAGAGCCAACATAATAAGAGGTAAACATCATTCTTCTGTTTAAATCCGTCGTGGCACCTTATGTAGTACTATTCAGTGAAGCTCTGTTCATAGCCGTTCGACGATTTTCAGCCACTACCAACACGGAAGACTTGTCCGAACCATGCATACTCTGAAAATAGTTTCTGAGCTGCAGTTTCATACAGATGTTATGAAGCAACGAATTTTGATATGGTAGTGGCTAAGAAACAATTTAGTTAAAAGTGATTGATTATTTAGTAAATATAATTGTGCGTTATATCTGAGCGTTTTGCCTCCTCCACCTTTTTGCAGTATTTTTCACCAAAGTTGGTTGAAGACTATTCAAGTCAACGAAATAGTGTATTGACTACACATCGTATTATGACAGAGAGGAGGAAGGTGGCGTGGCCGATTGGCTGCCATGCTCGTTGCGGCGCGAGGCGGGACTGATCCCAAAGCCCCAACACTCGCCAGCAGCCAACAACGAACGCCCATATGAAATGCCACTGTCAGGTTACACTCGAGATGGCAAGTATACCTGCTAAGCCAGTATTCCACGACGTTAAAGAATAAGAAAACGATTTTAATGCTGAAAGTACTGGTATCAGCACAGTGAGAAAAATATTGTATGGTGATATGCGCATCCCTACTCTACCAATACGATTTATTCCAAGTGCGAGATGTGTTGATGAGTGCCAAAGTCGAGAGACTAGTTGAAATCTGAAAGTGCTACACGTACACTTGTGCACTCGTTGATTGAAAAGCGATATTTGGCTATTTGTGAGCAGTCCACAGTGACTAGATCAATACGTGACTGTGGACTTTGCCTGACGTATGGGATGATTCAGGAAGATAAAACGAATTTAAAATCAGACGTTTCTGCATCAATAATGTAATGCGGTCACCATTCAGAAATTTGTGACCTTTTCGCCATTGTTCGGGATCTTGGAACTATTTTCGAAGAGACTCTACAACTATTTGACATAGACAAATGTCCGAGAAGCCGCCCACTCCCAGAGTTTTCCAGTTTGGTAATCATCTGCATGAAGAAATTTTCCTATAAAATCTCTATATTCCGCTTTAGAAATTCCATTTATTTTAACTCCAGTATAACTATTTTCTATTAACACATACATGAGTTCAATCAGCGGTGAGAGATTATTACTAGTATAAAAGTGAGTCTCTTTTATTTGGTTAAAACGACGATCTGAAGAGTGAACAGGGAGAATGAACAGGCGTTCATAAAATTGATCAATGATGCTAACTTCAGATGATGCCGATGATAGCTTCTGTTATGCAATCTCTCAAAGCTGAACGAGTTGGAAGTTTTTCTGCTGAACGCATAAGTACAAAGTAGTCTCCAAAACATCTCAGGAAGAAAACCTGTTGTTCCACGTTCTCGAAAACGTGCTGAAAAAAGTAATCAGCAAAAAGATGCAAGGGATGTCAATTGCTAATGAGCAAGACAGTCGACCAGGTTGTGATACTTCTTCATGAAGATCGACTAAGACTTCGAAATTATGTGTGTATCTCAGCTGAAGGAAACAAGTGGATAACTCTTTAAAGAGTGAGCAAAAAATGAACATTTTTCTCAAGGCAGCTCGAACTATTTATTGATTACGTAATATAGATGATGTCCTATACAAGAAGCACACTAGTGGCGAAAATGCTCAAATTAATGACTTCCATTTTGTTTTACATCAGTGCATGACAATAGGAAGGTTCACCCATTTTCATAGTGCAACAGTTCTTTAGAAACGTCCTGTACTATCACAAGCCCCTAACAGTTTTCCAAGAATGAGCCGCTAGGGTTGTAACAACGAGGATTTGAATTACTAAGAGGTGAGAAAAACAGTATTAAATAAGCAGTTCCAGTAGACTTCGACAAGCAACAAATCGTGATGTTAAGTGTCATAATAGGAACGTAACAGAACTCACCCCACCGTCATTTTTCAAGGTTGGCAGATCGACGTCGCTACTGTCTCAAGGGCTCAGTCGCTAGATTTTGTAACGATGCTCAGATCTGGAAAAAAAATTAGAGAGGGTAACAGCATTGTGTAGAAAAAGCGTCAAACTAAATCCTATCAAGACCAATCTAGCGTGCAGATAAGAATCTGCTGGTATCGGCAACATCGATAAGTAAAACGACAGGCATTAGTTTCGCAACAACGCTAGGTAAGCCGAGCTTTTAGAGGTCGCCGACTACAGTTACTCTTACACTGCGCTAACTTCAAACCAAAGAATAGATCTAAAAAGCTGACACCATAATTTTGTAATATTTGAAAAATTATCGATGTAAAATCAGCTAAAAACATTTTCATGAGAGATAAATAGCAGTGTTGGCCCAAAATGGTAGAAAGTGATAGAGACGTTCTAAATTGGGCTCAGTTATACATACCATGAAGCTAAGATGATTAACATGCGGCATGCACGCAGAAAAGTCATCTGTTCTAAAAAAATGACTTAGAATGAGACGTTTGTTTTGGAAAACGACGTAGACACGACGTTCTACCGTTCCAGTCTCCTCTACAGCTAGTCGTGCTTTTTAGAAAAATAGACGGATCCGTGTGACTGTATGCTTCCGTTTTCAGGATGCTCTACTTTCTTTTGTGCGTTCTTGTAAATTGCAGAGGATGAAGAGCAGGTCAACATCAGGTGTTATTATTGAGAACAACTCGAAAAGCCGACTTTCTTGAAATTTCGGTATGTCAATAATATAACTCCGCATTAACACATCTCACTCATACTCACACCCGCATCAAATAACACCTAGACGGAAAAAACAAATAAAGACCAAAGTAAACCTCTAGATACACACAGGGTACAAGGGCACAACGATGACGACTTCGAGGTAGTAGTAGTCAAAATCCTAGAACACGAATTAAAAATATCGGCGCGAAAAACCCTTGAAGCTTTCTGGATAAACTCCAGAAACCCGCAAATGAACAAAACGGGAGAGTGCCTCAACATAACCAACCACGTGGCACCTTATCTCAGATTGATTTTCTGGCCTGGGTCTCAGCTGACACATATTGTTAATTTGGCCTAGTGACATAGGGCAGGTTCATACGTTACCCTGCGTTAACAATATAGGTAGTCCCTAGACTAGATTGCACGGTGAGTGGTTTTCTCTGAATCAGTTATCGCTTAACAACACCCTAGTTTATTAATTTACTTGCCCTTTTTTTTCACAGTTCATAGTCATATAAATAAAGTTGCAACGTGCAATACGTTCAGGCTCTGAAGAAGGTGTATTTGCCAAAAGGTCAGCCCCAAGCAACCGCGAAAACCCATCGACCGGAAAGAAGAACATTCAACTGGGAAAAAGATACCAACCTCGTGAAGCTCTAGATAAAGATAAGTTTCCTAAGCTTCTTTTCTCATTTTTGAAGTTTTATATTATTAGCATGTCGAGGTTTCAAGAAAGTCGGTCTTTCGTGATGAACGATTAATGGGGTACCAACCAACTCCAGATATGGAAATATTGGCGGAGTTATTTTATACATCCTCACAGAATTTTTAAGCCTTTTATGATGTTTTCATTACACTAATAAACTGTAAAACAGATGTTCCAACTTTTCAGACTCATCCGTAAACGCGGTTTCGGTTCAAATAATACCTCGGGAATATATTCCCTATTTAGAGGATTCGACGCCGGACTATTTGCCTCAGTGTACGGTAAAATTATCACCGTGGCGTTCCTTCAGAATGATTAGTTGTCGATAGTGTTGATTGTCTGTGATTTCTCTTGAAATTGCTTGCCAAAAGCTGGAAATTTCAGCAAACCACATAAATGTCGTCTTGAGTGATGTAAATGAAATCCGTCCTCTTAACGTAAAAGGGTTATAGCTGCTTTTATAAGGAACTGTTATGTATGATATGGTATGAGGAAGACTATTTCTTCGTGTGGTTCTAAGGTGTTAAAGGTTTGCGTGCGTTGTCGCAGAGATATCGTGTTTACAGATCTTCGTATTAGTCATATAATTAGATTGATGCAAAGCCTTTGTCTTATGAGGGATCATTTACGCGATCGGAACAGAAGAAATGTTAGGAGGATGAGGGTATGCGCTACTTAGAACTAGTTTTTACATGTTTATTAGATTGCTGTCATTTTAAAATGTATTCCATCGGTAACAGTATGCACTATGAAAGACCTCTGCAAAGTTAACACTTTTGTGGAGAGGGGCAGTGATTAGTGACGCATGTGTAAGGAATCAGGGTCTTATATAAGGCACTGGTTCGATCGTCTCCCCAGAATTCTCCTGCAATCAGTCGACTGAGGACGCCCTAATTCGGCTACTTTCAAGATTTATCTCCAAGCTTCTCTACCAGTATACTACAATATTCATAAGGAAGGTGAAATCTTGAAGTAGAAACCGAAGCATTACCTAATATATACATAGGGATCTTGTGGAGGAAGAGTGCCAGGACACGAATAGAATTCATGAATTTCTGGTATCCGTAATGTAATCTGCGACAAAGCGTCGTGTGAGACAAAGAACACATTCGCCCCTACGAAAGGAGACTTTGACAAGAGAAACGTCAACAAATGCAAAACGTTTGCTCTCGGTGAGAGCTCGAACTCACTACCTTCAGATTATGAGACTAACGCGCTGCCCACTGCGCTACGGAAGAATGGCGGCTATGCACTGATATTTGCATAACTATTTTTCAGTTTCGTTATACTCGAAGCCTTTGTGAACGGTGAATGCAAGGAAGCGAATCGAATAAGAGCATTGCTGAAATCCGCACAATAAAGTGTGAAAACAGGGTTGGGTGAAATAAACGAAATATTACTCCAATTGTTATACTTTTACAATAAATAGGAGTCGTTTTTTGTAAGAGTAGTTACTTGGAAGTTAATAAAATGTTTTTCAAATTTTACATACGTAATCCTATATCAATCAAGCATGCATTACACCTAATTATGACTATACAATTGTGACTACAAATGCTATTAGCTGCGAGATCTCTGAAGATATCTAGGAATTCGGATTAACTTTATGTCGCTTCTAACAAATAGTCGTCCTCAACATGCTAACTACAAAGAACATTTTTATGTATAAATAATACGGTTTTTTTTCAAAAAGTTGATCCGATCGTAAGAGAAGGAGTTGCAAGTAAATGAAATTGTGATAGCCATTGATCAACTAGTATACCACAAAGTCTTAACAGCGTCCTTTGAAAGCTATACACAAGCGGTTGTCTGGATTCTTCAACAAATGGGTGTTTCGTTCATTTAATGAATTTACAGCAACATGATACTTATCTCTATCAGTGAACTACTAGAGTTTCTAGTCCATCTGTTCATATCTTCAAACGATGAACTTTTTGATCATTTTCTTCTACGATTTTGCACGTTCTTTTAGTTCTCTCAGAAGAATTCCTGGCTCTCCGTTTCAAGATGTCGATTTTCAAAATAGTAGCGATGATGGACAAAAGTCTACGATGCATGTGCTGGACACGATTAGTGGTGTAACCGCCACATCACGAGGTCTTCATTCCCAACTTTATTACGTCCCATAGTACGATGGACTGATACTTGATGTAAATATAAATTCGAAAAGACGTTTTTGTAATGCTTTTCTAGGCGACTGATGCTCAAAATGTACTTTATGTGTTTTGCAAATTATTCATGTTCGTTCCCTTAACGGCACATTATTTTTCATATATATGCTGTTTATAGGAGTCAATTTCCATATGTCTTTGCAACGTTTCAAGTGAATGGCAAACTTTCACATTTTTTGAAATATGCTTTATAATATGATATGCGCTTCTCTAATAATAAGCATCACATCGAGATCGTCAGTGGCACGCAAGTTCGTTTCCAACGAAGGTTTTTTTTGCTAAATTACAGGATAAAACATAAGTTTTTTTGTTACTTCTCTAATAAAACATGATTTTCTCTAGAAGATTACTTATATTTCGTAGATATAAAACTCCTATCTGCAAAGGAAACTCCGAGTGTGATACGATGTTATTTTTTCGCCCTCACAGTGAGCTATGAAAGCCTTTCCAAATACCAGTTTGAGCTCTAAATTTGCCGAGATTTGAAATATCGAATAAAATTAGTGTTATCCAATAAAAAGCGATCCACGAACTTCAGCTGGCTAGATAAGGCAACCCAGTGTGAAATATAATTATATTTTTGATGCTACATCGTGCTATCAAGGCCTGTTTGCAAACCAAGCAAAGTATCAAAATCCCCAAGATTTGAACTTTTGAATCACAATTAAAATTCCGGATAAAAAGCTTTGTTCGGCGGAAAAAACGACCTCTGGGAATTTGAGGGTCAAAATACTCTCATCGACCGCAAAGAATTATACTGTGTCATTAACAGTCGTCTTAACAAGGGTTTCTTCTGCTGTAGAATAAGTACTGATTTTCTGTTCAGGAGACCTTATCAAAGCCTCGCCGAGCTGAAATTAGGCGTTGAAAGCGTGATCATATTTCCGCTCAGCGCACTAATAAGTCTTCCAGTAGTCAAGAACGGCTATTAAAGTCGCCAAGATTAAGGCTATTGAATGATTACTGAAAATCAAAGAAAAAAGTCAAAAAGATACCATTTCGTATGGGTCAATATGATGTGAATGAAAACTTCAGTTTTCTGCTTGAAGGGCGAAGTTTTAGAAGAAGCAATTTGCTACTTTCCTCTTTGTTATTCGTCAAAGAACGTCTTGAAAAAACGATTCAATTTTAATATCACGATTTTGGCAGCAGTTCCGATGTTGTCGCATAATATACCGCTCATAATGGCATCTGTCACACGTATTCCATAGAATTCAACATCAATTGTACAATATTTCGAACTCAATCAAAAATTTCAAAATCATCGCCCTAAAAAGATCTTGTGTTAAAAAGACTTAAGGTGACAGAGGTTAAGTTTGTTGGAAAGTATTTCTTACAATGTATGACAATAATCAATCGCTATTTTGTTTTCCACCAACACGACCATGCTTTCGGATACCGACCTGTTCGAAGAACTATTCAAATAAACACAGTATTTTTGATAAAAAAAGCAGTACATCTTTCAAGATTTTGAGTTTCTCTTCGCCATTCGTCGTGGCATTGAACCACATAGAAAAGTGAAACAAACACCACACATCTACCACCGAAAGATAGATTAAGAACTTCAATGGAGTCATTCATGACTTCAATGTGAAGACAACACAAGAGGAACATCTGAAAAATTTTGCTGCGTAACTATCAAGGGTTGACGAGGATAACTTAATGAAGAACAGCTAGAATGCTGAACTATTCTATTTTGATTCCGGCATTAGCAATATCTACACTAATTCATAGTGTCCCAAGAGTAGAAGCTTGCGTGGCAGTAGAAGCGGAAGATTGCTACGTTATCACCAACATGGGTAGAGCCATATGTAGACCCTGGATGCGTAAAAGAAACTAGAATGAATGAGATATGAATGAATGCTGAGAAGCATTGATTTCCTACAGAAGTAAACATTGAACTAGATGCTGCTCATTTGGTCAAACCTCATTCAGCAAAACCTTCAAAAAACAAAGCGTAACGCTTTCACTGCTTGCGAGAAGATCAGCAGTTTTTTCTTATTTGCTACACATTAGACGATCATCCATAACGAACTTGCAGTTATATTATAGCACATTACTTGCATCTCTAAAGCCTTTGAGGCTTAGGCTTTATTCGCCTTTTTCTCAAGCTTTTAAATTATTTAGCAGCTCTTACGAGACTGCGAATCCACTGCTTCGGCATCCTTAACTGGCATCTCTAGACGCTCTGCTCTGTCCCCTCATCATCTCTATCCTCTAGAGTGTTTTATCAAACAGTGGCACGCTCTCAATCGAATTCGAAGTTTTAGGCACCATGTGTTAACCGAAAAAGTCAGATGATCGCAAGAGGGGCCATGTGAGGCTTAGCTGACTACTTACTTCTGGTGGGTTTGGCGGTTGCTTACCGCTGGTGAGACTGAACACAGATCGTTCATTGAAGCAACGTTTGTGTACGAGGAAACACGCCGTTACACCTGATGGTGGTTGATTAATATCGAATGCATAAGCAGTGTTATCATAGTATACTTCGGCATTTTGACACGAAGACGAAGAGTCAGTTTTACAAAAAACCGCACAACTACCTTGATTTCCATTACGGTAGTGTCGCAACTTCGTAGGCGATGTCGTCGCGTAATGATGCCTCGACGCATCCAAATCGGACGTCTCTCGACATTTTCGATAGTACAGAGTACATGCGCTGAAAAATCATGGCCTGCTTCTGCAAAGCTGAATGGTATACGAAGCTCCCGAACTGTCTTATACAAGCAAACTACTACCGAAACATTATAACTTTCGTTTCGACTGTTTTCTTAAGACCACGCTCAAATTTCAATATGCCAGATAATCACTTTTTGAGCCACGTATGAGGTCTGTTATATAGACCTGATTTACATAACCCGATACACGTGTTTGGACCTTAACATTCTCACCAGTCGAGCGGTACCCTTCGTCTTTCGCCAATCCTTTTGGGGCGCTCAATCCTCTGTACCAGGAGTATGCGACGACGAGCATTTTACACTGCCCCATCAAGCGAAATTAAAGCTGAATGGGCAGTGTTGTACACTCGATTGCTCTTGGGTGGTATCGTCAATGTATCATATCTTTCCTTTCAAGTGTTTTTTTTAAGATCACGAAAAAGTATGATAAATTGACGATAGCAGCCAAGAGCCATCGAGTGTAGAACACTGCTCATGAGACTGTCAAGGTCGAAAGCACGTGCATGGAGCTATATAAGCTTGCCCTAGAACAGATCACATGACATATTGGCTCATATAATATGAAAAGGCAGTTCGAATACCCAAATAAGTGAAAATAAGTATTAATCGCAGAATTATAAGCGGAATACGTCAGCGTGCACGCATTTCTTTAAATAAATTAATCATTTGATTTGACGTGTTTTCGTTTATCTCGAACCAACGACCATTCACGTGATGCATGGCATTCGACCATCACGCTACACGAACCACGAATTTGTGGAAAGTGAAACAGCATAATCAAGTAAACATCAAAAGAGTCCTTTCGTTGTTACGATCCATGAGTGTGATTTCGTTGAGAGAGGTAAGTATCATAGGGTGAATTGCCTAAGTACATCACCGTTTAATCTCTCAATAGGTTGAGTTATTAATCACTTAGAAACATGGAAGTCACCACCGATTTCGGGTGTGGCAACAGAAAAACTCCAGTTCACGCCTAATTTGATACTGTTCTCACGTTGATGTTGATGAAATTTTCATTGAAAACATAGTGTTTTTTCAGCACTATGAAACACGTAAGCAAGACACTCTATCAGATTTTATCACGTGTTGATCTCTGAATGCGGCAGAAAAGGGGATAAAATCAAGAAAACTATGGAAAGAGTACATTTACGAACATGCCGAGAAGAAAAACTCTGCTTAAGGATAGGAGAGCCAGACGACGAACAAGTCAAACTCACCGCAATCGCTCCCGATGGAGAAGCCCACGTTCGCGCCGATCACGCTGCCTTTCACCATCATGTGATAGGAACACGTCTTCAGTGAGTGATAGTTCGAAAAAATTCTACAATTTTCTAAATGGTTCACCTAAGCAGACCCTTTAGCACATTACTCTATTTATCATCCGTCCAC